GTTTTATACATGAGATTGTATTATACACAAATAAATACGGTAAATCCTTTGTTTAAATCCAAACATACATTAAGCTAAAGGCTAAAGTCCAGTGGAGTGGAGCTGAGCAGTGGTAATGATGCACACTGGTCAAGAGGTTTGGTTTTTGTGGGCTTCCAGCTCCTTCTCCTTTAAGCTCGCTCAATGACTTTGGCTAACAAAGAGAATGCTTTCTCTTTCATCTCGTAGCAGTATCCAGCAGCCGAGGCTCTAGAGCATTTCTCATCTCCTATTAGTGGTGCTTTTCAAAGGCTTACTTTATGTTGGTTCACTCACAGCTGGGTGTGACCTGAACCTCAGGCTGATCAAAAGGAGGAGCTTTTATCTCAACTGTATGAAATGTTTCACCTTCAGTTTATTCCCCCCACCCAAAAACCACACTGTTCTGTCCCTCTGCTGCGTCTTGTTACCTCTCTTCATCTGAAATGATTAGAAAATGTTAATACTAGTTGTTTTGGCTGCCACTGATGGACTGTTCCTTTGAGATGCACTTTGAAGTTTTTCTTCCTGTAAGTAAACAAACGTATGTGAAAGTTGGCAGCCATTCACAAATTTCACTTGCCACTTTTTAGTTAAGGGGTTTATTAACTGTCAGTATAAGAAAATTAAACAGCTTGGGGATTTTATTCGATTTTTTATGAAAATAAATTTTATTTTGACTAGGTGTTATGACATTGCAATGAGCATTTTTTTAAATTATTGATTAAAATCAACAAGCATTTAAATAGATTAATTAATTCACCTTTTCTTTGATTTTCGCATGAGCCCTCTGCCTCAGCTTTAACATGCCACATCTGTTTTTACTCTGTTTGTACTTGACATTAATATTAAGTAATTGCTTGTGGTGTTTTTGAGCCCAAACGTAACAAAAACCAGTGTTTGTGAGTAATAAGATTGACTCGCAGACCAAGAGATGYTTGTAAAATCAGGCTAATGGCTGCAGCTGTGCTGTGAGATTGCCCATGATGGCATTTAAACCATAGGCAGTCATTTTTACTTATTGTTTAATTTTACTCATATTATACCAGGACTAACTACACTATTTGTACACTTTTTTCCGAGACTTATGATGTGTCTTTATTTCCATCACCTCTTTTTACCCGTGACGAGCATTCAGTCTGTGTTTCTTTAATGGCAAATCATTTTACTGATAGAATTGCCAATTGGTTTTCCATTTCCAGCTGGAGTCTCGTATTGCCTCCACTTTAACTAATTTCCTTGGGGGCGGGCTTWGTTTCCCTGCCCAATCACAAGGGATTAATAAATCTAGTGTCAACAAAGATATCTGTCTTGCATTTGCTTTCAGTGATTAAATTATTGTTCTTCTCTTTGTTTTTTTAGCGAACATGCATTCAAAATGGGAGCCTTAGGTGGATAAATTAATATACAGTATGGGTAGAATGAACTATGGCTGCTGCAACACATGTTGTTCCTTTTCCTTTTGGTTTCAAGGTCTCGGTTAATAAAAAAGACAACATTCTTCAAGTCTTAATGCTATATTTTTAATCTTTATTTTTACAACAAAACATGGAAAATAAAAACAATATATGTTTCTCAAAACAGTTGTGATGGAGAACTGCTGAAAAACCCTTAAGGGGCTTAATAAGGGGCAATATCCATAGAAACAATTATATATAACAACTTAAAAACATTTATATATTATGTAGAAAAGTACATTTCTTTATATAAAACAATTAAAATAGCATTTAAAACACAAACCAATATGAAAAATTCACACAACTTAAGAGCAGTAATTTGACTCTGTTTAAACTCTTTAGAAACCGCTATGAGTGATGTGGGAATATTTACAAAAAAAATCTGTTTACATTTAGGCAACTATCCGTTTTGTGCATCTTTTAATTCATTGACATTATAATCAATATCAGATTTAATCTCTTTATTAAAAAATTGACTAAACCCAAGATTCCCGTTTACTCTTTGTAAATACTAAAATACTTGGTAATGGTTTGGTGCAGAAAGACGTTTGACTCTGTTGCATTTTTGCAAGATAATAAGCAAATCAAACAGTTTTTCCCCATCTTGCTTTAGTGTTGTGGTTCTAGCATTGCATCAGATCTGCAGTTTTTATAAAACTCATATTTTTTTGCTAATGGAAGTTTCTCAGTTATTATAYGATTATTGCGTTTATGGAGTTAAAGGTAATTTCGTCCCTAATATTCAGCATTGTTAAATATGCATTACTCATTTTACCATGTCATTAAAATAATGCTCACATTAGTAAGACTTGTGTGTGTATTTTGACGATAACTGCTTCGCTAATATTTATTTTGTACTCATGAAATGCTTTCAAAGTAACTGCAAGTGTGTTGATCAAAGTAGTAATATGGCTAATGATGCAACTAGTTGTTGGAAAACTTGTTGATTTCATGAAAGAAGGTTGAACTTCTCTGAACTCATGAGGAAAGTCTTAATGCTGTTTTCAATGCAACTTTTGGCCGAATAGTGAGGAATTAATTTGATTGATTTACGAAACTGTGTGGAAAATGGGGGCTACAGTAGCTCGGRGGTCAGTGCTGCAGTCTTGTAATATATGTCTTTGGTGTGGGTTTGCTTGTYGTGGTGACCCCTGAGCAGCCACAAGAAAAACCATTGATGTGGAAAATAAACGGATGAATTGTTGCACCGTCACAAGAACAGAAACCCATGTATTAATATTCTTAATGTTCTTTTTCAAGTAAGTTTTCTTCTACTCACTTTGTTTGTCCTGTATATCTCATGTCCACTCCCAGGCCTCAGTACTTTAAGATCATTGACGAGTGTGTCTCTCAGATCGTGCTGCACCGCAGTGGCACCGACCCAGACTTCAGTTACCGCAAGCGCCTGGATGTTGACTTCAGCCACCTTTTAGGCAAGTTTAATGCTTCTACTCTTTGACTGTGTATATATATATATATATATATATATATATATAGTGAATTATTCATAATTCATTAACAACAATTTGTTTTCAGAGGTGTGTGTGGACAAAGCTCGGATTGATGAGTTTGAACAAAGAGCCTCAGAACTGGCACAGAAGGCAAGTATTGACAAATAAAATTGTTTCGATTTTACCTCTGTTGCATATCCACACTCCCACCAGGACAAGAGAAAAACACAACATTTAGGTATTTACCATACTTTACAGACTATAGGTTGCGTCAGAACAGACATTTAATCTGGAATAATATGCAGAACATACTTCCTAGGATGCAACAACAGCTAGCATTAGCCAATAGCTTACTGTCTTTTTGTCATTAGCATCGTACTGCTGGATGGTCCGGTACGGTCTTCGGTACTTTTCCTTCAGGTTTGGTGAATTCTGTAATTGTTGTGTTGCAAATAAAATAAAAATGCATTCCAACAAGCAAGTTACCAGTAAGTTTACCAATCCCATTCCACATCACGCAATTAGCTTTTTTTCAATTCTTCAGTGCAGAAAGTGTAACCTCACAAGTTTCTCATTCACTCCAAACTTTATTTTCGCTGCTTGATTACCATTTTGGGCTGCACATTACTTTTTTACTGGACAGGAATGACATATTGTAGTTGTCACGAGTCGTGGCTGCAGACAGTAATGTTTACTCCTTGGTTTCTGTCAGTCAGTATGAACTAAGCTTTTACAGCATCAGTCAAAAAATGTGTCATGAAGAGGAAAAAATGTATAAACTGCAGGACCAGCCAAATGATGGAAAAAGTGACTTATAGTCTGGAAATTACAATATTATGACTTATTGTATGAGTTAATAACTGTTAAGATAACATAATCACTAGGAAGCAAACACTACAAGGCGTGAAGTTACAAGTATCAGAGCAGACATTGAAACATTCTTTAAATTAGTTATAGGTTTAAAAATTGACCTAAAAATAATGAAACAAAAATTAAAAAACATGGTTTTTTGCAGGAGCAGCTTCAGTCATGAATCAGTGATTCTTAAAGGATTCAAAAATTTCCCCTACTTCATTATCAGAGGTGTTGGTGTTATTAAATTTGTGTTTTTTATTTTAGTTTGATGAGGAGTTCCTCTGCAGACAGGAGGCACAAGCTCAGCTGGTGAGGTACGAAGAGCAAACAGCTGAACTCCAAGCAGAGCTGCAGGCCTTCAGGTCTCAGGTATGTGATGTGCTGAGACGTTTCAGTGTCTTTTTGTACTTAAAGGAGGTGGGATGATAAAAATTCTAGCTGTAATCACTCTACGTAGGCTCATAATTCTAGCACAGAATTGCAATTCAACTTCCTTTCTTCCTTTTCGTGATGAGATGTTTTTGTCTTTCGGGGCACTGTGTGGGAACAGTGGAAGAGGTTTTATCCATTGGACCCTGCAGTTTGGCTTGACATGGAGGCTGCTCTGCTGGCTAGCTGACACTAAGTCTAATGAGAACACTGACCGGTCCTCCATGTTGGCCATTTCTAATTCTCTGATCTCTATCCCATAAGAGGAAATTGTTCTAAAAGCAATTTATTCTGACAACCCCTTCAGCCTCACCCCTCCTCCAATTACTCCAGAGAGTTACTCCCACACCCTGGTGCTGCAAGATAACTACACACACACAGAGAGGGGAAGAGAACTTCCCTCTTTTTTGTGATAATTTTTCAATTTCAGAGCGCAAACACAGAGTGAATACTCAAATAGTACCTTGGTTCAGATGGTGACGGTGTGTTTAGCCAGCGGAGGTACATAGACACGCATGCTTTGTTCTTCCGTCTCTGTCGGTCCACTTATTTTTCAGCCTTATCCTCGCCTTCACACAGGTATGCATGCTCGTGTATTCAATGAAGGTGTTCTTTTTCTGTAAAGGCGGTGGCAGAAAAGGGCCCGTGGTTGACCTTTAGTGTGCATCTTTAATCAAAAACTTGCACATGGATCAATAAGTCATTTGCTCTCTGTGATACAATTTACAAAGCTTGGAGGCCCATTTATATTAGATTTTAAACTTTAGGAGAAATTCCTTGTAGGTATATTCTGAACAGAACTGGAACTGTTTATGAACATATTGCCATTGCTTGACAACTCACCTGTGTTATCTGCAACAGATTGATTATTTGAAAGGAATTCATGCTGTATGTTCTAACTCAGGGGTTTCATAACCGTTTTGACCTCGGGGCCCAATTTGTTGAACATAAAGTGACACGAGGCCCAGTCAGACCGTACCAATGTATGTATCAAAATGATAATTATTCTAATCTAAATCTTGGTTTAATTTTTATTGTATTTACATCATAACTAAACTATCATAACTAACAAACATTTTTATATTGTAACCTGCCCATAACAATTATTTGAACAAATACAAAGGTCAGTCAACAGACCACTCAGGCT